TATTACTATTAAATTTCTTTTATATCTTAATTTACAAATTTATTATAATATCTGGATACCTTATTGTATTTCTTGTTCTTCAATTTAATCTTCTAATAATACTATACCTTTTTTTACTAGTTCTATCTCTTTCTACCTCTTAATCTTCTCAACCTCTACTATTTACTACAGTTAGTGCTAAAATAGTATTATGATATCCTTTATAGATCAAATATTAAACAAATTTAAACTATATAATTACTAATCTACAAATCTAGATAAGCTATAGCCACCCTAGTTAGTTTAGGCCGCAGATAAATTAATCTAAGTTTCTTTTTTTGCTATCTTAGGATATAAAATTTAAATAGATTCTTTTTTTTGTAAGAATTCTCTTTCATTGTAGAAGAATTAAATTAAATTTTAATAAAGTTAGAAACATGATTTCACCATTAATATTCAAAAAAAAAAGATTTTATGTTTTTAAAAGAAATATTTAATTTGTCAAGATTGGCATAATCACTTTTTATTTTGAAGAATCAAAGAAAAAATATCACCTACTAAATCAATTAATATTTTACTAAATATTATTATTAGAGAATTGCTATTTCCACCCCTATTTTTGCTAATACCACCCCAAATATCAAAAATACTTCAAAATAGATATTCTTATTAAATAAACCCTTCTTTTAATCTTAATTAAAATTGTTCATTAGACCTTTCTGGTTCTAATAGTAGTAAAATTATTATACTTGAACCAGTAGTTTCTAAAATATTTATATCTGAAGTTGGTTAACTTTATTTACTTTTAAGAAAAAACTACCAGTTCAATTTAATTATTTTACTATTATTAGCACTAGAAAAGCCTGATGAACAACTTTAATTAAGATCAAAAGAAGGGTTTACTTAATAAGAATGTCTATTTCAAAGCATTTTTTGATATCTGGAGGTGGAATTAGCAAAAATGGGAGTGAAAATAGCAATTCCCTTATTATTATCATGATCTTAATCATGATGAATTGACAATATCACATGATTTTCAAAACTTTGTTGCGATTTTACCCGGTTCATACGTATCAGTATATGGGGTGAAAATCACCTTCCGACATTTCTGATGGACAAAAATAAACCCGAGTACCGGTCCATGTTTATATGTTAATCGTCTTTTACCTTTATTGATTTAATGGTTTATCGAATAACTATTGAACCAATAAAGGTAAAAGATGGACCGGTACTCGGGTTTATTTTTGTCCGAATTAACCCGATCGGAAATGTTGGAAGGTAATTTTCAAGTCAAAAACCCCATATCTCGAATCAGAGCTGATAATGAATAATTAACTATGACTGACGAGGTCAGGTTTTCACTTGGCGGCACTCATATGGATCAGGAAAATCACCATACAATTCTTCTTGATTTACGAATTCTAAAAAAGAAAATTAAATGCAATATAAAATTAGTTGAGGAGACAAAATTTCCGAATTAATTTCAAAATTTATTTAAATACAACATTAAGGCATTGGTAAAAATTATAAAAATATTACACAACATAAAAAAAGTAAAAAAAGTTGCAAATAATACTACATTACAAAAATAAGATTCCTTTGTATTATCATGAAACATATATTCTCTATCACCGTGATGATTTTTGTCTTAGTGCTTAGTATAGCTTGGGAACAAGTCATCGATGGTAAGGCATTTTTCAAATTCACATTTTGAATAATTTCATTTTTTAAATTAACTTTTTAATTTGAATCATTCTACCTATTTTATAGCCTCATGCCAATCAGGTGTAAACCCAAATACTAAATCATGTAAGGCTGGTGAATTATGTGGATTTTATAAAAATTCTGATGATTGTATACCAGGCGTTTTTTGTATAAATGGTATTTGCCAAAAAACACTAGACGATGGTTGCGTTGTAGGAGGACGACTACGAAATTGTCGTCAAGGTGACGAGTGTGCATTTAATACTGACTGCATAACTTCAGTGTGTTTTTTCGACTGTACTTCATTAGAATGCACGGGTATATGCATTACGTCCTAGAGATATTATTCAATTTTATTATTTTGAATAAAAATTTAGTATTAGTTTTTTTATACTTTTTTGAGTTGAAATAGATAGTGTAAACATTTAAAGACATTAAATAACTTGTCCTATTTGGGCTGGAGCGGAGTGGAACGGAGTGTAAGACCTTTCCATGGTGTACTAATTTATGGTGATGTCCGGCTCCCGCCCCTGTAATGACGACAATATAGATTTTGTCTACCCCTGTAGAAATTTAATTAATCAGAAATCAGTCAATAACGAACGATCAACTATGTAATTAATAAAAAAAAATTATAACAATAAATAAATTATATGGCTGATAAATAAACTATGTAACTAA